TCAAAGTCAGCATCTTTCTTTTCCCTCAGCAGTAACTTTCTATTTCTATGAATGACCTTTGCTTGAATAAGGTACACTCAATAATGATTAGTTTAGCTTCCTTTAAATTATTAGGTTGCTGTTTGATTTAAAAGAAGATGACCTTCTAAAATCTCTGTGGCCACTAATTTATTTCCTCCTTCCTGGGGTGGGATTGCTTTTATATTTAGCTTGTGACATTAATTAATTTGCTTCTTCTAACTAAAGAGAAAGTCATAGGATTATGACATTAAGAAAATAAAAATTAATTTATTCCCTGCTTCTTTTTTTCTGGAAGAAAAGTTTAGTCAGTAGTCAGTTAATAGGGAGAAAATCAGCAAAGTACCATCAAACTGTCTGAAAAAGCTCAACCACCAAGGTAACAGGATAGCCAAGATAAAGGCTATCAAGTTTGACCTTGTTGTCAGCTCTAGCAACCCTTGCTCCTTGTAGATAACCTCATGGGCTTACACAACCATGAATGCAAACTTAAGAGTCTGTATATATGCTAGCTCATTATGTCTGGGATAGAATCAGCCCTCAGGAAAGAGGGATCAATTCTTCCTTCTGTAGCCTTTTGTGCCAAAGTCCTAACAGGTTAGGGCTGCATCTCTGACATTCCAGAGTTGAAAGAAAGTGTTCTTTGATCAACACACAAATATCTACCAAGTTAGTAGAGGTACCTGAAACCCTTGTTAATTGTTTGTTAATTAACAAGTGAGAAGGTCCAGAATCAACAAGAAAGTCTGGTTCATTTTCCTCACTGTCATTTATACCTGAATCATTTTATCATCCAGCAATTCTCAGTAAATGGAGGCAAAGACTGCCTCAGGGTACAGTTTAGATAAGTGTAATCTACAAACATACTTAGGAAAGGTTTTTACTGGCTGAGCTCCGTGAATAACAGTTCTTGTTATCAGGCATACAGGCATGAGAAAACACCTCCTCCATGGTCGTCCCAGCTTGGTGTAGTAAGGGTTGACCAAAATGACTCTATTTGGATTTTGAATACTTTCACATTTCCCTTCTTGACCAAGATCTGTCTTTATACGCATCACTGATCATTTATCTTATGATCATGCTTCAGCTGTCCCCCAGTGCCAGGGTGGGCCTGTCCTGGTTGTTGGTCTAGTTGTCTCACGCTGAAGGGGATTAACTGGAGATGGAGTCAGTGTCAGAACACTTTCCCTCCACCTTTGAGCAGCAAGGGAGGCTTGGAAGGAGTGCCTCTCAGACCAAGTTTACTTGCAGTCCATTGATCTTAAACTTATTAGAAACCTGGATTCAAGAGTACTACTTAAGGTCTTTTCCATGGGTATCAGTTTTGGAACTGTGGATAACAAAAACTTAAAATACCCTTAATTAATATAGCTCAGTTGATAGCAGTTCATTACAATAATGATGCAATTGATAAAAGTTAGTAATTTCTATGCACACAGCGTTGAAAGATAACATCCGAGGCCAGCCAAGTGGTGTAGTGATTAAGGTAGATTCCACATGGCAGATTGTGCAGTTCAAGTCCCAGATCTGGAATCTTGAAGAACATACCAGTCTCATATGTGTGTGTGTGTGTGTACATGTGTGTGCATGCTAAGAATTCCAAGAGAAGAAGGGAGGAGGAGGAACTGTGGTGTGTTTCTCCCACTTAGGGTATGCTTTCTCACTTTCCCTCTCTGTGATGAGTATACACATCTTATAGCAAATTTTTTAAAAGAAAGGTAACACCCAGAATATGACTGTTGGGATCACACCAGTGTTGTCAGAACCTCCCAAAATTTGTACATGATCTTAAGAACACATATACCAGAGCTAGCTGGCGGCACGGTGGCTATGGCCCCGGACTCCCATGTGGCTGACCGGTTTGCGTCTAAAATCTGGCAGCTCGAAAATTCTGCCAAGCAATTCTGAGAGGAGAAGGGATTGCAGAGTGACCAGACGCCCTGGGAGGAATGATTTCTCACATTCCTTCTCTCTTTCTCTGTTTCTCTCTGGCTAATGTCCTGTGGCAAAAACCTAAAAAGAAAAAAAAAAAAAAAAAAAACGTAATTAAGAATTTGATCTTGGAGGAAACCTGTCAAGGTTGTCAGGAAACTTGCAACATTTGATCAAAATAGGATTATAGGTCACTAAGAAACAATAGTCATTTAACCAAAATGATCATCAAAATATACTATCAAATATAGAAAATTACATAGGTAAAAGTTTAGCCTTTAGTTTTTATGAGTTATTTATTTTTCTTTATTATTACTATTATTATTAAATTTGCTTTAGGGCATGCACACTCCCCAGAGAGGGACAGAGGAAGAGAGAGAGAGAGAGGGAAAGTGAGAAAGTAAGCTGCCAGGTCTGGGACTCAAGCCGCAGTTAGCCATGTGGGAGTCCAGCACCTTAACCACCATGGTGCCTGCTGGCCCAGGTTTAAACTTAAAAGTTCAGTTTTTCTAAGTAATTAAAACTCACTGAACACATTGTTTCTTAAGCAAGTTATCAAGATGTAAAGGAAAAGTTCTTGCAGTATGATTGCTTTTACTAAGAGCAGATCAATACTTTAAGAAAAACCTTTTTTTTTTTTTTTTAAAGAGAGCTTTTTGCTATAGGGCGCATGTGCTTGCCAGAGAAATAGAGACAGAAAGACAGAAAGTGAGATTACCCCCCAGGGGGGTGGCCACACGGCATTCCCTTCTCCTCCATTCTCCTCTTGGGATTTTGAGCACGCGCCCCAGTGTGAGTTTGAAGCTTCTGGGTCTGAGACTCAAACCACAGTCAACTACGTGGGAATCCAGTGATGTAACTATTATGCCATCTGCTGGTCCCCCAAGAAACCTTGTTTTAATATAGGGGAAAAATAGCATTTTTATCAATTTTTGCTTTTGTCAAAATTTGCCAACAATCCAGAGATTTTACTTTAGCACAAAATGTTTATCAAACAGAAGATATATTTTTACTTTTATAGCTTTTGTTTTTTAAATCCTTCCTTTTTCCTACTGTTTTCTTTCTCCATTGTTTCCCTTTTAATAAGTTTATTTTAGGAAACCTTAAATAATGTCTGATTTAGACCAAAATCCATGTATAAACCACAATTTTAACTCTTAGTAACTAACCTTAATTCCCAGAAATAAATCTTAAATTGTCATATACCAGCAGCTTATGAATATGTATCCCACAATCTCTAGAACCATTTGCTTTCTTGACAGATTTTTTTTTCAATGTAGAACAAAACAATCATATTAACTGACTTAATATCTTTTTTCTATAAGAAATCAAGGTATTTTAATGTTTTTTTTTTTTTTTTTGGAGAGGTTTTCTCTATAGGGCGCGTGCACTTGCCAGACAGAGACATAGAGACAGAAAGCGAGAAATCACCCCCCAGGGGGGATGGTCACGCCACAATCCCTTATCCTCCATTCTCCTCTCGGGATCTTGGGCACGCATGCACACGCGCCCGGAGTGAGTTCTAAGCCACTGGGTCCGGGACGCGAACCGTGGTCAACTACGTGGGAGTCCAGTGACATAGCCATTATGCTAACTGCTGGTTCCCAAGGTATTTTAATGTACTTTTAAAAATGACTCAGACGTCCTATGGGTACTTATTTAACATAGCATAACTTTAAAATCTCAAAGTACCCAAAAAGTTGCTGATGTGTTTTCTCTTTAAGATAGGGACATTCCTTTTTCTAGTGCCCCATTTCCTTACAATAAACACACTGTTCTTCAACAACGTTCTCTTTCCTTGTATTCCTCTTTTTCCTTTCACACAGCTGCAAACAAAACAGCTGCTTGTTTCAGTCCTTTCACCTCATTAGCTTCCCTATCATTATAACACCGTAAAGGCAATGTCTATAAGCTGTGAAGCATTAGTTCCTATTACTCCTTCCACTTTCTGCAACTTCTTTCTAATGCCTGGGGCACTCTGACTAATAAAACTCATACTATTCTCATATTTTCTGGAGCTTGGGGGTCAGTTTCTGTAAACTTATTGTAAGTTTGGCAAATTCTTTCCGTAAGTTCGGATGGGTATGCTGAGGCCTTCTATTGTAATTCCTGTATGTTATTGATGCTCTTAGGTTTCGGGATCCCTGATTTTATTCCTCCTAAGATATAACTCCTATAATTTTCTTATCTAGCCATTCCACGTCCAGTTACACCATTAGGATTTCATTCTGGGTTGGTGCAAGAAGTAACATTTTCTGGGTCTGGTGTATCATCTGGTATTCAGTATGAAGCCACTCTGTTTCTTCTTTTGCCATATCCCCTGCTTCAAATTCTACCTAAGAAGCAGAATACTGAGATAGTTGGCATAGAGTTCCTATTCTATAGTCCTTGGCTCTTTTGAAATGGTAACTAGTAGTTCTGGCATTTTGTTTTCAGCTTTTACCCGGAGAATGAGGCTCACTGAACCTCTCTCCTTTCTAAAATCTGCGGAAATGAACTTTTGGTAACTAATAAACTACAGTGATTTCAAGTAAGAGAGTAAAAAATTTGCTTTTATATTGCCCTTTAACCTCTTGGGATGTTTCAGGTTTTGGTTGGTTTTGGTGGAAAGAGAATTAGGGACAACAATAAGAGGTTGGATTAAGAGGCAAAGGTTAGTTGAACATGGCAAATTTGAGATGTCTGCTGCACCTCCATGTAGCAACAATATGCAGGCAAATAGTAGATTCTTAGGAAAGAAGTCATGGCTAGAAAAACAGTGTAGTGTAGTATAAAGAATTCTGGGTATTACACTAAGACACATGAGTTCAGTGAGGCTATCTCTACTACTAACTGCATCTGTGACTTTGACAATTCATTTGACTTCTCTGGACCCTATCTTTACTGAGAAATTTCAGGTAGATAATCTTTAATAAATTCTTGTCCAGTTCTTACATTATGTGATTCTAAGTGTATTGATACTGACCTCCTTAACTTGAACTCTTTTCTTTCAGCATTTAGTATGAGAACCTATATTTGCCATATTTGTAATATCACCTTTACATCCTCAGATATGTTCCGGTCCCACATGCAAGGAAGTGAACATCAGATTAAGTAAGCATTTTTGCCAAAATGTTTCTCTGACACCAAAGCCTGGGGAGAGCTTCAAGTCAAGTATCCTTTCATGTATTTCTCGAATTTCTAGGCATTCATTTCCCTGTGACTTGAACCTGTATATAGTTGATAGTATTCATAGTATGTTACGCACTAGCATCTCTAAGTAAGTTCCATGGTCATGGTAGTGTATGGCAGAGCTGCCTAATCAGTACTTCTCCTGGCCAGACAGCATTGTCCTTTTTTGGAGAGATGCTAATGAATAATTTTCAGACTAATTATACAAATTTAAGAAATCTCTGGAAGATTGGCTTAGTTCCCAGGACTTAGTAATCTAGTTGTCATCTTTCCACTGAGGTATAGTGATTAAGAATGAAGGCCTTCATATAAGACAGACCTGAATCAGAAAACCAGATCCATCTTTCTACCAAGTGTGTAACTTTGGACAGCTCTGATAAAAGATTTTTACAATGAAATTTTATAAAATGTACAAGGTTCCTGGGCTGGCACATAGTAAGAGCTCAGTAAATGTTTAATTCCTTCTACTTTATTGTTGAACCATACATTCCAACATGCCTAAAATCATTTTTAGTACTATTACAACAGCATCAGCTATGTTTGCTCCTTTATGCCTATCCTCTCTTTCATCCCAGCCCTGAGAAAGTCTTTTTTCATAAAAAGTGTGAGGTGCCTAGGAGACACCTGACTATCTGATGCTGCTTTTTGTTATGAAAAAAAAAAACATTAAAAAATACATTGTAGCTTTTATAATGATACAGGTTTTTCAATTTTGTTTGGGCTTTTGGTTTTTTTTTCACATTAATGTTTTTGAAAGCAAAGAAAATATTCAAAGTACAATAATTAGTAACAACTTTCCATCTTCTTTGCAGAGGATCCCTTGATGCCAATCTAGTGACAAATTCAAAGAAAATGAAAGACTCTTACCAAGATGAACATGCAGATTACATCAAAGTAAAGAAAGTCAGAGGACTAGAGCCAAAGATTGGTTTCAGAAAGATGGAAGAAACTTCTTTGGAGACCCATGGATACAGAGACGTGGTTAATTCCAGATCTAGACACAGAATGTTTGAACAAAGACGACCATTTGAGACTTTCCAAACATACCGAGGACCATACAATAATTCACAGGCAGTAGAAAACCACTTAACTCATTGCTTACCAGCTCAGTCAAAGAAGACATATAACTCATTCCAAGATGAACTTGAGGATTACATCAAAGTGCAGAAAGCCAGAGGACTAGATCCAAAGACTTGTTTCAGAAATATGAGAGAGAACTCTATGGAAACCCATGGATACAGAGATATGGTTGATTCTGGATCCAGACGAAGAACAAGTGAACAAAGATACTCATTTGAGACTTCTCAGATCTACCAACGACCATACAATATTTCACCAATGGAAAACAAGTTACCTCATTGGTTACCAGATCATTCAAAAAAGATATGTTACTCTTTCCAAGATGAACTTGAAGATTACATTAAAGTACAGAAAGCCAGAGGACTTGATCCAAAGACTTGTTTCAGAAAGATGAGAGAGAATTCTATGGAAACTCGTGGATACAGAGAAATGGTTGATAACAGATCCATACATAGAAGTTTTGAACAAAAACTCCCATCTGAGACTTTGTGGACTTATACAGAAACAGGCAATATTTCACAGGCAGTGGAAAACCAGTTACCTCATTGCTTACCAACTGACAGCAAACAGAAAGCAGATTCTATGAACTACTGTCAACTCACCAGAGACTATTTTCCAGAAAAAACAGTACCCTTGAGCCTTAGTCAGCAAGAAAATAACTCTGACTCACACAGTGTAGAATCTGAAATTTTTAAGCACTTCTCTTTAGAAAACAATACCAGTGACCATGAAGCAAGTCATAAACGGAGACATCAGAAGAGAAGGCGACACCTAGAAGAAGGTGAAGAACGGCCAGAAAAGGAGCAGTCCAAGCATAAAAGGAAAAGGGGTTGTGGGGATACATATTTAGACAAAGACAAGGGTGACAGACAAAAGAAAAGAGAGGGGGATAAAGTCAGGGTCAGCTCAGGAAAGCTTAAGCATCGAAGAAAGAAAAAAAGCCATGATGTGCCCTCTGAGAAAGAAGAGCGTAAGCACAAGAAAGAGAAAAAGAAATCTGTTAAAGAAAGGACAGAAGAGGAAATGCTTTGGGATGAGTCTATTCTTGGATTTTGAACTTTTAGTTCTGTTTAACCAAGGATGAATTGAAGAAAATAGTTAAGAATATAGATGTAGATAAAGACAGAGAATTCATAGAGACAGAGGTGAATACAGCTGAAGAAAACACAGAAGAGTCAGTGTTCAGGGATGAGTCTACTTTGGGATTTTGAACTTTCATTTTTGTTGACTCAAAGACAGATTTGAAAACATCAGTTAGGAAAATGCATTTAGACAAAAGCAAGCATCAGGTAAAAAAGAAAAGAGAGGCAGATATAGTGTCAGTTCAGGAAAACTTTTTTTTTAATTTGAAATTTAATTGAAAGAAGAAACAAAAATGCTGAAACCTAGCTCAGAAACAATGACATAAGAACACAAGAACTAAGAGGAACAAAATGTATAGAAGAAAAAACAGAAGAGTCGATGCTTTGGCATACTTTACTCTTGGATTTTGAAATTTTTAATTTCATTCTTTTAATGTTAATCAGGTTGAGGAGTTTGACTCCATGAAATACATGTTATTTGAATATTTCTAGATAGATAGTTACTTTAATGTCTAACAAAAATCAAGTGAAGTAAAAGTATTCAATATGCCTTTTCCTCAAATTACTTGACCCCATTTTCTAAATAAATTTTTAAAAATTACTACATGTTTCTTACATATAATGTAATTTCCCTAAATGATATTGTCTCTATTTCTGTTCATAGAAAGTACTGTGATAGTGAATTATGTACAAACAAGAGATATTTTATTTTAAATGAGAGAATGACCAGGCATTGAAGAATCCATCCCTTTTTTGTGTTCGTGTTGGTGATACTTTATTCTTGTGTGTTTATGTTTCTTGGTTTTCTCCAAAGAAAATGTATGAAAAAATTTAGACTTGAATTTGACTTTTTTCTGTTAAATCTAATTTGTAGTGTATTTTTGTATTTTCTAGTTCTGAAAGTGGAAAATGAAAGTCTATAATAAATGATATATAGTTTTAAAAGCTCTCAAAAAGTGCTGATACAAAACAGTATATATTCTGGGAATGTTTATATTAAAGTGTCTTAATTTCTATATACTGTCTTATGGAAATGTTCATTTCCTTTTTTTTTTTTTTTTTGGAGAGGTTTTTGCTATAGGGTGCGTGCGCTCGCCAGACACACAGAGAGAGACATAGAGACAGAAAGCGAGAAATCACCCCCCAGAGGGGATGGACATGCCGCAATCCCTTCTCCTCCATTCTCCTCTTGGGATCTTGGGCACGCACGCACACGCACCCGGTGTGAGTTTTAAGCCACCGGGTCCGGGACGCGAACCACGGTCGACTACGTGGGAGTCCAGCGACATAGCCATTACACTAACTGCTGGTTCCCTGGAAATGTTCATTTCCTATCTGAAGATTATTTTGTTTTGGGAGTGAGAGGGGCAATAATTAATCAGTTTGTACTTAATACTTCTGGGGAGATCACACTGTACTGCTGTAATAATTTCATTTCTTCATCATCTTGTGGAGTAAAAGCTTATGTTCAGTCTTGACCTCATTTTAGGTTAAGTTAGGAAAATATGACCAACTAAATACTTGAAATTGAAGAAGAAAGAATTTTTAAGTAGTAGAGTACCATGAGAGTGTGTTGCCTTTAAATTGTTAGATTTTGATGTTTTTAAAACTCTAGTGCTTTTTGTTTCTTCTCTTTTTTAGTGCCTCTTATAATCATTTGGACATCACTATGATATTGTAGAAAGTGTAATGGCCCGAGAATCTTTCTTAGTCTATTTTGTGTTGCTGTAATAGAGTACCACAGTGGGTAATTTCTAACAAAAGTAAATATATTTGGCTCATAATTCTGGAGGCAGCGAAATTCAAGGGCATGGGATCGGCATGTTCTTAGTATCTGTTGAGGAATTTCTTACTGTTTCCTCCCATGGTAGGAAGCAGAAGGGTAAGAGAGCACACATGCACATGAGAGAGAAGAGAGGCCCTACCTTCACTTTTTATAACCACCACTCTGATAACTAACCCAATTTCACAGTAATAACAATCCATTCTTTTGTTTGTTTGTTTTTTGAGAGGTTTTTTCTATAGGGTGCATGCGCTCACCAGAAAGAGAGAGAGACAGACAAAAGGCGAGAAATCACACCCCAGGGCCATGCCGCAATCCCTTCTCCTCCATTCTCCTCTCGGGATCTTGGGCATGCACACACACGCACTTGGCTAGAGTTTAAGCCACTGGGTCTGGGACTCAAACCATGGTTGACTACATGGGAGTCCAGCGACATAGCCATTGCACCAACTGCTGATCCCCATTAATCCATCCTTGAGGGTAAAGCCCTCTTAATTACCTCTTATTAGACCCCACCTCTCAACATTATTGCATTAGGAATTAAATTTCCAGCACATGAACTTTAGGAAACATACACAAACTACAATATTTTTCCCTGGCCTTCCCAAATCCGTGTGCTTCTCACTATGCAAAATATATTCATTCTATCATAGTAGTCCCCAAAGTCTTAACTCATTCCAGCATCAACTTGAAATCCTACAATGCAGAGTTTCATCTAAATCAGATATCGATGAGACTTAAGACATTCATCTGAACCAAATTTTCCTTAAGCTTTGAGCCTGTGAAATTAAAGTATAAAAGTTTTCCCAAAGTACAACAGTAGAACAGGCATAGGAGAGAGAATCCCATCCCAAAAGGGACAAATAGGCAAGAAGAAATGAGTAATTTGTACCAAATAAGTTTAAAACCCAACAGAAAACAATATTAAATCTTAAAATGCTATTATAATCTTTTCTTGGCTCCATGTCCTGCATCCTATGCACACTGATGTGGGAGTTGGCCTCAGGTATCTCTGGCCCAGTGATTTTGCTGGGTGCAGTCTATGAAGTAGTTTTCATAGTTGGAGTTTCATGCCTGCAGCTTTTTCAGGCTGGAGTTGCACAGTGGTAGTCCTACGGTTCGGCAGTCCTTGAGGTACCCTTACTCTCAGAGCTGCACTAGGCTTTGCTCTAGTGGGGACTCTGTAGTGGCTCTGAGCCCACATTTCCACTCTGCATTTCCCTAACATGGGCTATCTATGGTGACTCTGCCTCTGCAACAAGTCTCTACCTAAGCCCACAGGCTGTCCATGACATCCTTTGAAATCTAGTTGCTTCTTCATGTATTCTGCACGTCTGCAGAGTCAGCACTATGTGGATGCTGCCCAGATTTATGGCTTTTTTGTTTCCAAACAGCAAGATGATCAACATCTGGACCTTCTTGAGCCACATCACTGCATTGGAATGAGGGCAGCAGACACATGAGGTGAAGCAGAGCTACAAATGCTGAGGTTCCTACAAGTGCCTCTTTTGGAAACTGCTCTTAAGGTCTTGCTTTGAGCTTGTGATGGGACAGATTTCTGAAATATCTTCAGTCTTTATCCCATTTTTTTTTTTTTTGGAGAGATTTTCGCTATAGTGCGCATGCGCTCACCAGACAGACAGAGACATAGAGACAGAAAGCGAGAAATCACCCCCCAGGGGGGATGGTCACGCCACAATCCCTTCTCCTCCATTCTCCTCTCGGGATCTTGGGCACGCATGCACACGCACCCGGCGTGAGTTTTAAGCCACCAGGTCCGGGACGCGAACCGCGGTTGACTACGTGGGAGTCCAGCGACATAGCCATTCCGCTAACTGCTGGTTCCCTATCCCATTGTTTTGATGAATACTGACTCCCTTCTATTGATGGTAATCCCTATCAAAGGATAGCTTGACCACACCCTTTGATTCTTCTCCTAAATATACCTTTAGTTTTTACAAGGCTAGGCTGAAATTTTTCAATTTTTTTTAACTTTCTGAATTTGCTTTTAATTATAAATTCCATTTTAAAATAATTTCTCTCCTCTCACATCTTGCTGCATGAGGTTAAAAGTGGTCACACAGTTCCTTCAATATTTTCCTTATAAATTTCTTCTAACAGATATCCTAGTTCATCACACTAAAGTTCTGCCTTCCACAAAGTCTTAGGACACAGACAGAATTCTTCCAAATTCTTTGTGACTTTTAAAAAGGATGGTTTTTACTCTAGTTTCCTATACCTTGATCCTCATTGTCATCTTAGTCTTCATCAGGATGGCCTTTACTTTGCATATTTTTACCAGAATTCTGATAATGACCACTTAAGTAATCTCTAAGAAGTTTCAGACTTTTCTTATAGTTGCCTTTTTCTGAGTTCTCACTAGAATCACCCTTAATGCTCCATTTACAGCAATGTAGGATTTTCTAGCCTACTACTAAAATTATTCCAGACTTTGCCCATTACCCAGTTTCAAATATGTGTATACATTTTTCAGGTGTTTTTTTTAATAGCAACAACTTCACTCTTGGTATCAATTTCTTGTCTTGTTCTGTTTGTTTGTATTGTTCTGTTCTGCTCTGTTTGTATTGCTATAACAGAAGCACAGACAAGGTAATGTATCTCATTCACAGTTCTGGAGTCTAGGAAGTCCAAGGACATGGTGCCAGCATCTGTTTTGCATCTGGGAAGGGCCTTCTTGTGCATCATTCCATGGCAAAAAGCAGAAGGGTGAGAGAGCATGTAGAAGAAATAGAGAGGAAGGGGGAAGCAAACGATTTAAAACATATATTTTTAAATATATTTTAAAAATATATTTCTCTTAGATATAAAGATAGAGAAGGAAAGGCAAACACCCTCAAGAAGGTCTCATTCTCTGATTCTCTCCCAGGTCTTCCCAGTCAGTCAAGATCATGGGCATGGGAGTGCAATGTGCATGCCTGGCATGTACAAGTCACCCCACAAACTGAATCACGATCTTCCAAATAGCTTCCATCATTACAGAGCATTGCCCTTCTACTGTGCCACTGAACTTGTGCCCCAAGCTTATTTTTCAACAACCACTCTCGTGATACCCTACTCCCATGATAATGACATTAATCCATTCATGAGGGCAGAACCTTCATTACCTAATCACCTCTTATTAGATCCCATCTCCCAACACTGTTGGGTCAAGAATTTAGCTCTGGCAAATGAACTTTGGGGACACATTCAAGCCTAGTAGAATCTAAATCCAAAGTTTCTGGTCTCAGTTTTACCATCAAGCTACTGTGTGACCTGGTGAGAATACCATCATAATCCAAAATGGAGTTGCCTTGAATAGGAAGACTAGGCTCTATTACTCCCTTAATGCATTAATCATATAAAAAATAAATTTAGATGGTTATATAGCTGCACATAGCCAAAGCATTTCATAGTTTTTTTTCCCTGTTTGAGATTTCAATAAAATGGTAAATATGAGCTACATCATTATATGATTGGTTGGGATTATACTTACTTGAATAAATAGTTCCAAAGAAAGTTGTATAGTCTCCAAATCAACCTTTATCCATTAAACTGTTGGTGTAAGATTATTTTATGCTACAATATCACCTTTTTAAAGCACATCTGGTAATCTGGTAAAGGGAAAGAAGAACCATAGGGTAGAACAAATAGACTGTGATTATCAGGCACTAAATTGGCAAATTCTATTCTGAGCACACACAAAAAATGCAGAATTTTTTTCAAATAAAGTACAAGACAAGATCGATTTGATTGATTGTTGGCATTTTTAGAATTGACAAATTATTTTGCAGAATTCCATTCTGTGTTTAAAACTTGAAAGAGAAATACAAAACTATATTTCACAAGGATGTTCACTAACATACCAAATTAGTGTTATCTTTTTGAAACAAATATACAATGTACAATGATTCATTAAAATTAGCTGCTCATCATTTTAATCTTCA